CTGCGCAGGAGCGTCGCGCCGCTGACCCGGGCGTAATTTTGAACAAGCAGCAGCTGGCTGCCATGGACCAGCTGAACGCCGTGAAGCTGCAGCTGACAAGCATTAAGAAGCTTATGGACACGAAGCCTGACGTGCAGGCGGTCGACGGTCCACCGGCGAAGCGGGCCCGTGTCGCCCTTGAGGATTTCAAATGTGACTTCGGCGCCAGCGAGGGCAAAGCGAACAAGTCTCTCAGCGGACAGCGCGCGCATATCGAGAAATGCTACAATGCGGTAATGGACATTGAGGACGCGTGGCGCAACGTCCTCGCGGCTCGGCCCGGCGAGGAACGCTTCAGGAACATCGAGGCCATGGAGATTGCCATCACCGACGGCAAGGCCGTGTTCCGGGGGGTCGCGAAGGAGCTGGTCGTTGCATACAACCACGGCTGGGAGGTCGTGCATGAGATGCGTGGCATGGCGTACGCGGAGACGGAGGAGGAGCGCAAGGCGCTGAAGCAGGCCGTGAAGGCGGTGGCGGGCAAGAAGCCCAAGCAGGCCAAACCCGCGAGCGTGCCGGCCGGCTCTGGCGCGGGGGCCGGGGTGAAGCAGGCGGCGGCGGCGGGTGTCTGTTTCAAGTGCAATAAGCCTGGGCACTTCGCCAAAGAGTGCAAGGAGAAGTAACGGGGTGTAGTGTGGTGCGGGTGTGAGAGGTTATTCGCAGCCCGTGGGCCCGGGAAGGTCGTGGTGGTTTGGAGCCGACGCGGGTGTTAACTCGCGAGTCGGGGCCCGGAGAGGCCGGGGGGCAGCAGCCCCGTGGTGTTTGGGAGCCGACACGAGTGTTAACTCGCGGGTCGGGGCCCGGAGAGGCCGGGGGCAGCAGCCCCGTGGTGTTTGGGAGCCGACACGAGTGTTAACTCGCGGGTCGGGGCCCGGAGAGGCCGGGGGCAGCGGCCCCATAGCGTGGAAGCGTGTTGTTGACGTTCCTTGTGGCTGTAGCCTTGTGCGGGGTTGGGTGGCTAAGGGCACGGCCGCCCCCTCCGCGATTATTGAAGTTTCGTGGTAGTGCGCCCTCACCCGGCCCTACCCTTTCACGAAGACGTTCTTTCCTTGCGTGCAGGTACTTGTTTGTAACGTAGTCTTCGCATGAAAACTGACAGTTTTCTACGTGAAGCGTTGAAAACTAAGGTTTTCTGCGAATACGGAGTGTCTTTGCCGTATGGCGTACGAGCCAGTGTGGCTCTTGTGTCGCGGCACGCGACAGTGTTGGCTAATTCGGGTTGTTCGTAGCTACGTTTGGGTGCTGCCGTGAAGCGGTTGGTCTGTAGGCCTTGGTGATCCGCTTCGTGGTAGTGCGCCCTCACCCGGCCCTACCCTTTCACGAAGACGTTCTTTCCTTGCGTGCAGGTACTTGTTTGTAACGTAGTCTTCGCATGAAAACTTTTATTCCCGCGACTAATAATCTATTTATCCGTTCGGACTGGAAAATTGACGGGCGGTGGTGGCGGTGGTGGCCGTGGTGGCGGTGGTGGCGGTGGTGGTGGCGGTGGTGGTGGCGGTAGTGGTGGTGGCCACTCTGGCGAACAGCAGGCGCTATGGCCAGCTGTAGCGGCTTTGCAAAGTCGGGTGCCGCATGATGCCGCCTTCTCGCTCGAGTTCCTGCAAGCCGTATATGATATTTGCACG